TCAGCAGGAAGGGCGGCGCGGTAGCGAGTGTCACTAGTGCGGAGGTGCGTAATGAGGTCAGCTACAGTGGGAAAGGCAGAGAGGTCAGGAAAGAGGTAGGGAAGCATGAGACGGCTCAGTGCAGCAGTGGCAGGGGAGGAGTAGCGCGCAACTACAGCGTCGTACAAGGTCTGAGCACTCTTGTACTGACTGAAGTGCGCACGCTCAGAGGTAGGGAGGTGGCGACGCACAGCAAGACGTGCAGCAGCATCGCGGGTGGCCCACTTAGAGCGGACAGCGGGATCAGCATCAGCAGCAGGAGCAGGAGAGGCGCCAGAGGTGAGATCAAAGAGAGAAAGGTCGTCAGCCCTGTCGCACTGTAAGAACAGCTGCAGGTCGTCTAACCAGACCTCAAAATCAATGGCGCGACCCTCAGCGTCAAAAGCTAGGACACTAGGGGTAGCCATGGCGACGACAGCGACGCAGTGCAAGCAGTAGGGAAAGAGCTCGCAGTGTCAGTGGGACAGTGCTCACCAGGCAGGGCAGGTCGTGTAGGTATGCAGAAAGGCGGCTCAGCGACGTGGCGGCTCGGGTGCAGGGCGGCTCGGCTGCTGGGCGGCTCGGGCGCAGGGCGGCTCGGCTCCCGGGCGGCTCGGCGGCTGGGCGGCTCGGGTGCAGGGCGGCTCGGCTCCCGGGTGGCTCGGCGGCAGGGCGACTCGGGTCCCGGGCGGCTCGGCGTCGGGCGGCTCGGCTCACGGGCGGTTCGGCTGCTGGGGCGGCTCGGCCAGGAGATCCAGGGGCGGGGCCGTCAGGTGCAGCGGCGGGTTGACCGGTGCAGTGGCGGGCCGGCAGGTGCAGCGGCGGGCCGGCAGGTGCAGCGGCGGGCCGTAGGGTGCAGCGGCGGGCCGTAGGGTGCAGTGGCGGGCCGGCAGGTGCAGCGGCGAGGCCGTCAGAGGCGGCGGGCCGGCAGGTGCAGTGGCGTTCCGGAAGGAGCAGCGGCGGGCCGGCAGGGGAGGCGGCGGAGCCGCGTCAGGGGAGGCGGCAGGGCCGCGTCAGGGGAGGCGGTGGAGCCGCGTCAGGGGAGGCGGCGGTGCCGCGTCAGGGGAGGCGGCGGAGCCGCGTCAGGGGAGGCGGCGGGGCCGCGTCAGGGGAGGCGGCGGGGCCGTGTCAAACAGGCGGCGGGGCCGCGTCAGGGGAGGCGGCGGAGCCGCGTCAGGGGAGACGGCGGGGCCGCGTCAGGGGAGGCGGCGGGGCCGCGTCAAACAGGCGGCGGGGCCGCGATCAGGAGAGGTGGCGGGGCCGCGTCTGAGGGACAGCGGGGGCGCGAGGGAAAAGGCGACCCGAGGGGTCGCTAAAAATAGGCGCGCCTCGGGGCGCGCTTCGGTGGGCCCTAAAAAAACGGTCCTAAGGCAGGACCCGCTCTATACCATGTGAAGCAAGGAAAACAGGAATGAAATGACTATGGAAGATTGGGTACAAATACAACCCTAGAAACCCTGTACCCCATATGTGCTACCCCACTATAGCCTACAGAAACTATGTCATATAAATCTGACATTGTGGAGGTGCAGCTGCCCATTGAGTGAGTTGAGAGGGAGTTAAGAAGGGATTTGAGCGGAGAGGTGCATTGGGAGCAAGGGGCGTGGTGTCGTGGAGTGATTCGCACTCCAGCTGCCCATTGAGTGAGTTGAGAGGGGAGTTAAGAAGGGATTTGAGCGGAGAGGTGCATTGGGAGCAAGGGGCGTGGTGTCGTGGAGTGATTCGCACTCAAATAGAAGCAACGGAGGAGGGCGAAGCAGCGTGGACGACGGGCATTGTGGAGGTGCAGCTGCCCATTGAGTGAGTTGAGAGGGGAGTTAAGAAGGGATTTGAGCGGAGAGGTGCATTGGGAGCAAGGGGCGTGGTGTCGTGGAGTGATTCGCACTCAAATAGAAGCAACGGAGGAGGGCGAAGCAGCGTGGACGACGGGCATTGTGGAGGTGCAGCTGCCCATTGAGTGAGTTGAGGGGGAGTTAGGAAGGGATTTGAGCGGAGAGGTGCATTGGGAGCAAGGGGCGTGGTGTCGTGGAGTGATTCGCACTCAAATAGAAGCAACGGAGGAGGGCGAAGCAGCGTGGACGACGGGCATTGTGGAGGTGCAGCTGCCCATTGAGTGAGTTGAGAGGGGAGTTAAGAAGGGATTTGAGCGGAGAGGTGCACTGGGAGCAAGGGGCGTGGTGTCATGGAGTGATTCGCACTCAAATAGAAGCAACGGAGGAGGGCGAAGCAGCGTGGACGACGGGCATTGTGGAGGTGCAGCTGCCCATTGAGTGAGTTGAGAGGGGAGTTAAGAAGGGATTTGAGCGGAGAGGTGCATTGGGAGCAAGGGGCGTGGTGTCGTGGAGTGAATCGCACTCAAATAGAAGCAACGGATGAGGGCGAAGCAGCGTGGACGACGGGCATTGTGGAGGTGCAGCTGCCCATTGAGTGAGTTGAGAGGGAGTTAAGAAGGGATTTGAGCGGAGAGGTGCATTGGGAGCAAGGGGCGTGGTGTCATGGAGTGATTCGCACTCAAATAGAAGCAACGGAGGAGGGCGAAGCAGCGTGGACGACGGGCATTGTGGAGGTGCAGCTGCCCATTGAGTGAGTTGTGTCGAAATATAATTGACATATTTTATAACTGCTTGTAGTTGTAGTGTAGTTATTGTGCTTTGTAGGTGGTGCACCAATTTCATTTGCTTTCCTTGTATAAGTCTTGAAACTTTGTAATGCAAACCACTTTTCCCTTTTCCAACTTTCTCGATACCTAGCCTAGGCTCACAACTCACTCGACATACGAGTTGGGCCTAGGCTCCTAAGCCTAGGCCCTAGTTAAAACTCACTTACCTCTCGTTCATTTTGACATGGATTCAGAGCACGATTCGATCTGGCCTGTGTGGGCCCGCCTTAAGCTTCCGCTGCTACTTTTCCGGTCGCGCGCCTAGGGCGCGTGGCGATTTTCTTCTAGTCCCGCCCTCGGTTGGCGTGTGACTCTTTCTCTGCCCGTCGCGCGCCCCGTGGCACGCGACGGTGCCCTAAACCTGCCCGTCGTACGCCCCGTGGCACGCGACGGTGCCCTGCTCGTCGTGCGCCCCGAGGCACACGATCGGGCCCTACACTTAAACTTACCCGTCGTGCGCCCCGTGGCACGCGACGGGCCTTTCCGCACCCGTCCTCACTGCAGCCGCCCCTGACCTACCTGCGCCAACATATAGTAGCCGCTTTGCGGCTTTCTTCCCGCCCACCCCCCTCCTCCTTTGTCTCCCTGCAGCCGTGGGGAGGAGGGTATGGGGGTGGCGGGTGTTGGAGCTTTGGGTCATTTCCTTCCCTTCCCCTCCTCCTCCTTTCATTCCCATTGCTGCAGCTGCCGCTGGGGGGGAGGGTGTGAGGGTGTGGGGGAGAAGGGGGATTGGCACCGGGGTGGCGGGTGTGAGGCAACCAGCAGCCGTCCCTCCACCTCTCCTCTTCCCCCCCCCTCTCTGCTGCTCCTGCAGCAGTGTGGGGGAGGGGAAGGAGGAGGGTGAGGAGATGGAGTGGGTGACCATCCAGAGTTAGCCCGCCTGCAGTACCTGCTGTTGCTTGTTATTTTGCATGGTGTACCCCCTCAGGGGGCGTAACTATACTTCTACCAACAAGCACTTATGGGGGCGTGTCGAAATATAATTGACATATTTTATAACTGCTTGTAGTTGTAATGTAGTTATTGTGCTTTGTAGGTGGTGCACCAATTTCATTTGCTTTCCTTGTATAAGTCTTGAAACTTTGTAATGCAAACCACTTTTCCCTTTTCCAACTTTCTCGATACCTAGCCTAGGCTCACAACTCACTCGACATACTAGTTGGGCCTAGGCTCCTAAGCCTAGGCCCTAGTTAAAACTCACTTACCTCTCGTTCATTTTGACAAGTTGAGAGGGGAGTTAAGAAGGGATTTGAGCGGAGAGGTGCATTGGGAGCAAGGGGCGTGGTGTCATGGAGTGATTCGCACTCAAATAGAAGCAACGGAGGAGGGCGAAGCAGCGTGGACGACGGGCATTGTGGAGGTGCAGCTGCCCATTGAGTGAGTTGAGAGGGGAGTTAAGAAGGGATTTGAGCGGAGAGGTGCATTGGGAGCAAGGGGCGTGGTGTCGTGGAGTGATTCGCACTCAAATAGAAGCAACGGAGGAGGGCGAAGCAGCGTGGACGACGGGCATTGTGGAGGTGCAGCTGCCCATTGAGTGAGTTGAGAGGGGAGTTAAGAAGGGATTTGAGCGGAGAGGTGCATTGGGAGCAAGGGGCGTGGTGTCGTGGAGTGATTCGCACTCAAATAGAAGCAACGGAGGAGGGCGAAGCAGCGTGGACGACGGGCATTGTGGAGGTGCAGCTGCCCATTGAGTGAGTTGAGGGGGAGTTAGGAAGGGATTTGAGCGGAGAGGTGCATTGGGAGCAAGGGGCGTGGTGTCGTGGAGTGATTCGCACTCAAATAGAAGCAACGGAGGAGGGCGAAGCAGCGTGGACGACGGGCATTTTGGAGGTGCAGCTGCCCATTGAGTGAGTTGAGAGGGGAGTTAAGAAGGGATTTGAGCGGAGAGGTGCATTGGGAGCAAGGGGCGTGGTGTCATGGAGTGATTCGCACTCAAATAGAAGCAACGGAGGAGGGCGAAGCAGCGTGGACGACGGGCATTGTGGAGGTGCAGCTGCCCATTGAGTGAGTTGAGAGGGGAGTTAAGAAGGGATTTGAGCGGAGAGGTGCATTGGGAGCAAGGGGCGTGGTGTCGTGGAGTGATTCGCACTCAAATAGAAGCAACGGAGGAGGGCGAAGCAGCGTGGACGACGGGCATTGTGGAGGTGCAGCTGCCCATTGAGTGAGTTGGGAGGGGAGTTGAGTTGAGAGCAAGTTACTACGTGACTGTGAGATCGAGTCCCGCAGTGAATGCAACTGAGAAAGTCTGAACAGTGTGGAACACCGGCTCTGGCAAGGGATCCAATGCATCCTGTGTTCACCATTTCTCCCCACCCACCCTTCGATGCACAAGCTGAGTCATATTCTTCTCTCTTCCCTTCGTCCCCCGCACCCCCCTCCGCACTGTCCTCCTAGTTGCAAGCTAGGAAACATCGAGGCCACAGAGGAAACCGTAAGCGCATGCTGCATCATCTGAATCTTTCCCCTTTCCCCTTTTGCCTTTCCCCTTTCCCCTTTCCCCTTTCGCCTCTCCCCCCTCTTCCTCCACCCCTTCTTCTCGCAGCTACGAAGCTGGGGAACATTGAGGCCACAGAGGAGGCCAAGCGCATGCTGCAGCATCTAAGTCTCTCCCCTTCCCTTCCCCTTTTTCCTCTTCCCCCCATCCCCCGCACACCTACAAGGTGGGGAACATTTAAGCCACGGAGGAGGCCAAGCGCATGCTGCATCATCTGTCCCTCACCCCTTTCCCCTCTTCCCTTTCCCCTTCCTTCCGGCCGCTTTCTCCCCCATTCGTCGCCGCTCCTTCCAGCTACAAGCTGGGCAACATTGAGGCCACGGAGGAGGCCAAGCGTATGCTGCAGCATCTAAGTCTCTCCCCTATTCTTACCCCATTTTCCTCTTCCCCCCATCCCCCGCACAGCTACAAGCTGGGCAACATCGAGGCCACGGAGGAGGCCAAGCGCATGATGCAGGAGAGAAGGCCATGGATGAACCACCCGCGGTATGGCCTGTTGTTGTGGGGAGGGGGGTTTTGAGAACAGCGTTGAATTAGTTGACCCACTAGTCACCAGCACACATGATGCAGGAGAGAAGGCCGTGGATGAACCGCCCGCGGTATGGCCTGTTGTTGTGGGGAGGGGGATTTTGAGAATAGCGTTGACTCAGTTGACCCACTAGTCACCAGCACACATGATGCAGGAGAGAAGGCCGTGGATGAACCGCCCGCGGTATGGCTTGTTTCTTCCTTGCGAAAAGGGAATTGGAATTGGGAAAAGGGGCAAGGGCGGAATGGAGATGGGGGTAGGAAGGATCAAAGGAGATTTCTTTTTCTTTTTGGCTAGGTACCGTCTATTTTCATCCTTCCACCCCGTTTCTCAAGCAAGGGGTGCTGTTGAACCACACATATTCTCAAATTTATCAATGTGTGATGATGCATATCGATCTGCACGTTTGTTTGGTACCGCTTATTCCCATGCTTCCTCCCCATCAAACAACTACTTAACAGGAAGTTCCTTATAAGTTACCTCAAAGGTCACATTTCTTTGGAACTGCCTATTTCCATCCGCCTGCAAATTCTCATCCTTCCGCTCCTTCCTCAAGCACCTTGCCCAACCCCTCATGCTGCTTTTTAGTCTGCCTTTTCTCCCTTTTCCGTACCCGTTTGATTTTCTGTTCTCTGCCTCTTCTCCCGCCCTCCAGCCCGCCATCCACCACGCTGCCTGCCAGCTACAGTACAGACTTCTTTCAGCGCGGTCGTGAATACGCGGAGAAGCTTAAAAGGGGTACGTGTCCCGGGACTGCATTGCACTGCGTCATCCTTGGCAATCCTCTTTGTCGTCGTGGCTTCCTTGCTCCAAGTCTCTTCCTCGACCATTTTTTCCAAACCACCACCACTACCCACCTCTCTCCACCACATCCCTCCACCACTCCAAGCCTCTTCCTCGCCCATTAGCACGTCTCAAAACACAAGTGCTGGACACAATCACACTCGTGACTCGTGCCCCCATGAGTGCTGGACACAATCACACTCGTGACTCGTGCCCCCATGAGTGCTGGACACAATCACACTCGTGACTCGTGCCCCCATGAGTGCTGGACACAATCGCACTCGTGACTCATGCCCCCATGAGTGCTGGACACAATCGCACTCGTGACTCGTGCCCCCATGAGTGCTGGACACAATCACACTCGTGACTCGTGCCCCTATGAGTGCTGGACACAATCGCACTCGTGACTCGTGCCCCCATGAGTGCTGGACACAATCGCACTCGTGACTCGTGCCCCCATGAGTGCTGGACACAATCACATTCGTGACTCGTGCCCCAATGCTTCCGCCTCCCACTCACCCTATCTTTCCTGATACCAGACAACTTGTGAGGCGCCTCAACGGTCCATAAGCACACTCGTGCATGCATCTGTCTCCCATTCACCACATATTCCACGCCCCTCTCTCCCTCTTCTCGGATACCAGACAGACACCCCCCAACATGTCCCAGACGGACGTGGGGTCCTGGACGATCTGGTGGAAGGGGAAGAGCAGGTGGCGAAAGGGAAAGGTGTTTTTCCTTGCTGTGTCAAGCTGCAACACGTTCACTCCTTGCCCCGCCCCTTGCCTCGCTGCTTGCCCCGTTTCGGCCAGAGGGAAAGGTGTTTTTCCTTGTTGTGTCAAGCTGCAACAAATTCACTCCTTGCCCCCTTTCTTGCCCCGCCCCTTGCCCCTCCCCTTGGCCCCTTCACTGCAGACAACCCCGACATGTTTCGAGACTCGAGAGGGGGAGGCCGTGGGGGCAGTGAGGTCGTTTTTGAGGCGCCTCAAAAGCAACACATTCACTCCTTGTCCCCGCTTCTTGCCCCGCTGCTTAACCCCCCTTGCCCCTCCCCTTGTCCCCTCCTCTTGTCCCTCCCCTTGTCCCCTCCTCTTGTCCCTCCCCTTGTGCTGGTAGTGATTCTTGTGGTGCTGTTGCTTCAATGGCGGGGTGGGTGGATACGGTGGTGTGGTGGTGGAGACAGGCGGCAGGCAGCTTCAGATGATTTTGTGTTGGAGAGGAAGTGCCGAGCATGTGTCGATAGTGCTGGTTGTGGTGTGAGGCTGGAAAGGTGGGGCGGATACAATGAGGAATTGTGTCATGCGCCGGTAGTGCTGTTTTTGGTGCTGGTGGTGCTAGGGTGGAGTGGTGGGCAGGTTCAGTGGTGGTAGCGACAGGTTCAGGGGCCCGGCAGGCAGCAACGGATGATCTTGTGTTGGGAAGGTTCTTGGAATGGGAAAGAAACCGAGTCATGTGGCGCGAGCATGTTGGTGCCCCTCCCGTTGCTACTGCTGCTACTGCCAGTGATGCCAGTCCTGGCCTGCTGCTGGTGGTGGTGCCAGTGAAAAGGAGCCGATACATGCCTCAATTGCAACACACCTTTGTTTTCCGTATGTGATGGCTTTTGTGAGCACTGATTAACGGGTACTACTGATGTATGTACATATCTCATGGGTGCACTGTCTAAGGAATTTGATGATAATACGGTAATGCCAAAGGAAAAGAACGTGCAAAAGCAAATCCATACTTGACAAAACGAGGTCCTTCCTCCTGTGTTTATCGCAACTGCCTGACTTGCTTCGCTGGCGTAGTTCTAGCACGTGTGACAGATTTCGCACGGTCTTGAAAATGTTGTTCTAGAGAGATTTTTTCTCAGGGCTCTATTTCTGACAAAGAGGTACGTACTGAGCTCTATTTCTGACAAAGAGGTACGTACTGAGCTCTATTTCTGACAAGAGGTTAGCCTGGTAGGAAACACCCCACACACAATCTTAAAAAAGCAATGAAGTAATGTGACTGGAGAAGTGGGGTATCGATCCCCATACCTCTCGCATGCTAAGCGAGCGCTCTACAATCTGAGCTACATCCCCGATATTTCGCTATAGAATTGAAATATTTAAATAAACATAGTTGTTCGCTTCCCTTGTTGCAAAGCGGTGTGCGGTATCGCAGCCATGCTGGCGAACAGCTCGGCAGGGAGTGGACGAATTTTGACGGGCGATGCGAAAAAGGAATTTGTTGCCGGTTACCATTTTGCAAGGCCGACATCCCCCAGCATCCCACAACACACGGACCCACCAAACCCGCCTAGCAGAATGGTCAATTGCGGGGCGAAACAGGGCTGACTGCGGAATTCTTTGAGAACACATCGCAGTAAATTTTACGGCTGGTTCATTTCGCGAAACTAGCTGCGAATTTGTGCAGCCATGTAACACTCACGAGTAGGGTTATGGTGGCTGATTTTTGTTTGGGGCCTACGAAACTTTGTGCAGATGTGCCTCGGCCAAACAGGGTGTTTGCGTTCTGGCGCGCAGCGCTGGTCGTGGGAAATTACTCGTCGCGGCAACTCCGACAATAAATGGACCTGCCATTGCAGTGCACTGTAAGTTTCAGACTTCAGAGAGCGCAAAGCACGATTAGCGGCGGAATGGGTAACAGGGGGAATGGCGCAAGGCATGGGAGGGCGGGGAGAAGGGCGAAAGCGGGACCGGGCCCGTATGGTGTATCACCATGAGCAGACTGGATAGAAATCTAGCGGCGGAATGGGAAACGGGGGACAGTGGCGCAAGGGCGTGGGGAGAAAGGGGAGAAGGGCGAGAAGTGGGACCTGAGTCGGGCCCGTCACGGTATATGATGATGAATGAACTGCATAATGTCACTCCAGTTTGCTTAGCCGCGTCCTGAACATCCCACCTTTTTCAATTCTTCGACGATCGTCTCGAGTACCTGTCATGGCGCTCCGTCTCGTCTCGCGGGCCTTTCGCGTCGTCGTGCTGCTCCTCGCTGCCGTTGCGTCACTCACGCTCACCAGCCATGCAGAAGCGGCCTCAATCTCCGTCGGCGGCTATACTTCATTTGATAACGGTACCATTGTCGATGGCAGTGGAGCCGTTGTAACTTCCACCAAGAACGCGGATGGGTCCGAAACCCTTGGAGGCTACACTTCCTACCCTAACCGCACTATGGTTGGTCCTGACGGCGTGATCTTCGCCGAACGTTCCGACGGCAGCACGCTTATGGGCAGCACGATCATGTACAAAAACGGGACCTTCACGGATCTCAATGGGGAGCAGATTCGACCTGTTTTTAACGGGGATGGTTCCATGAAAGTAGGTGACCTGACGATGAGGAGTAATGGCACCATGATCTCTGCCGCGGCGGGCGTGGTTATACGCCCTGATAGCACTCCCAGTGGGACCGGATCTACTAATTCCACTGGCAAAGCTGCATCCACCTCTCCAATCAAGCTTGGTATGATTAACTTGTATTCTGGTAAAGGGAAATTTTGTTTGTTGGTTTGTTTGTTTGATTGTTGGTGTATTTTGTCCTTCTTTCTCTCTTTGTTTTGTTTTATATTATACATTTTGCATTTGTGTTTCCTCTCCTTAACTGCCTCCTGTGATTGTAGAGGTACTAACTACTAGATCTTGTCATGCTTCTCCTGTTGGCAGGCTACCTTGGCACCGCCGTCACCATGGCTGTTGGTTTTGCTTGGCTGCTTTCATGATAGAGGGGCGCACGTGGGTTAGCTAGGAAGACTAGAACAGCATGGAACAATTGAATGGCATAGAGTTTTTTAAGCTGTTGATCTATGTTCCACTGATAAATTGCAACAGCATATCTACGGTACGGTAGTACTACTTTTCAAGGGTCAGAAATGTTATGGAAAACGTCGCCACTACATCGACAGGTCAGAATCACAACATCAAAGCAGATACCATGCAAAAATACACAATATTTAAAAGTGTTCGCCGTAACAGTGGGCGGCCAGGCCAATCATTCATTCTTGAAGAACAGCGCCTTATTCAGAGCATATCTTGCAGCGTGCAGCAGCTGTGCTTCCGATATGTCTGCCAACGCAGCTGCCGCTGGAACAAGAGACAAGCTGTGGGCCAATCATTCATTCTCAAAACAGAGTGCCTTATTCAGCGCCTCTCTTGCAGCCTGAAGCAGCTGCGCTTCCGGTGAGTCTGCCAACGCTGCTACTGTTGAGACAGCAGTGGCAATAGAGGCAATCGGCAGCAGCACACTTGAAACTGCTGTATTCACTCCTTCATTAGAGTCCCACAGAGGCGATCCACCAATGTTGTTGCTGCTGCCGCTCCTCTGGCCTTGCACAAGACCTGCTGCACCTGGCGCTCGTGGTGCCTCTGCTGGTGGGGCCTCTGCTGCTGCTGCCGATCCTCCTCCTGAGCCGCCGTCATCCCCCTCATTGCATAGCAAATCCGACATGACATCATCACTGCTGCTTTTGGGCAACACTGATTGCGGCACAGAGGGGTGCAGAGCGGTGCAGTGCCAGTGCAGTATGCGGGAGGTGAGCTCTATTGTTGCATGCCGCTACCAGAGTTCTCTTTCTTCAGCCTGCTGCACCTGATGGGGGCGGGCAGGGAAAAGGAGAAGGGAAGAAGGACGGGCAGGAGGGGAGAATGAGGGGAAGCAGGAGGGGGGAATGAGGGGAAGCAAGGTGGAAATGAGGGGAAGCGAGAGAGGAAACGAGGGGAAGCAAGAGGGGAAACGAGAGGAGAAACAGGAAGGGAAATGAGGGGAACCAGGAAGGGAAATGAGGGGAAGCAGGGGAGGGAAATGAGGGGAAGCAGGGGGTGGAAATGAGGGGAAGCAGGGGGGGAAATGAGGGGAAGCAGGGGGGGAAAATGAGGGGAAGCAGGGGGGGAAATGAGGGGAAGCAGGGGGGGGGAAATGAGGGGAAGCAGGGGGGGAAATGAGGGGAAGCAGGGGGAGGAATTGAGGGGAAACAAGGGGGGAGAGTGAGGGGAAGCAGAGGAAGGAATAAGGGGAAGCAAGGGGGGAAATGAGGGGAAGAAAGGGGAGAAATGAGGGGAAGCAGGGGGGGAAAATGAGGGGAAGAGAGGGGGGGGGGGGGGGGATGAGGGAAGCAGCCTTTGGAGGGATGGGCAAGAAGTGGGGAGGGGGGGGATGTGGGGGATAGTTTTGTTACATTCTCACAGCCTTGGAGGGATGGGAAGAGAAGGTAACAAGAGGGAAGGGGGATGAGGGAAGCCGCATTTGGAGGGATGGGCACCAGAGGGGAGAGAGGGAATGTGAAGGAAAGGTCTTTTAGATTTAGTTCACAGCCTGAAGGGGTGAGAAGGGAAGGCAACAAGAGGGAATGGAAGGGCCGAAAAGGGGGGCAAGGGTTTAGGGTGAGATTAGGGCAGGGGGAGAGGAGGCGCGCCGAGGAGCAGCGCGACGAGAGTGCTGGCGCGTTGAGGGGAGCGGCGCGAAGAGAGGAGGCGCGACAAGGGGAGGCGCGGCGAAGGGAATGGGGCGCGACGAGGAGAGGCGCGACGAGGGTGCTGGCGCGTTGAGGGGAGCGCGAAGAGAGGAGGCGCGACGAGGGGAGGAGCGGCGCAATGAGGGGAGGGGAAAGCGCGATGAGGAGAGGGGAAGGCGCGACGCGGGGCGGCGCGACGAGGGTGCCGGCCCGACCACGGGAGGCGAACATCACAAAGGGATGCGGGCCGAAAGGAAGCAGCGAATCATAAATCCTCCATATGTCCTGCAGCGAATTCGCTATCATTGGATGATGCATTAGACTAGCTAACTGGCTTTGCACTTTCTGAATCAGGTAACTGAACACAGACTAGCAGGGGTGTGCTTTCATATAACAGGTAACTACTGCATCTGCTGCTGCGACGGCTGCGACATCTGCGGCGGCTGATGCGACAAATGATGATGCTGCCGGGGCTGCTGCACCGCCAGTACATCAACAATGGCGGTTAGAGAGATAGATGCGCTGTGACGAAGTAAATTCAATACGTGGCTGCAGTTAAGTGTGTTAGTTGTTGGTGCGATTAATCCTGAGGACGCGGTTAAAGTAGACGATCAATCTTAGTCACGATCGATATGCGGATCGGTTACCCTATTTTCTACGTTGTAACCATGCTACAAAACGTTTTTTGCCAAAATTTCTCTACAGTGTGCGAATGTGACTGATCACTGATCGCTGGAGATCTGTCAATTTTATAACGTTACAACGTCGCGATCCCCTCCCCTCTGTGATAAGGGCGATCGTTACAACGTCGCGGTCGCCACGTTTCGCCAATCGATTTGCTCACTCGATTGTGGGGCTCGATATTTGCAGACGATCCTGCAATATTTGCACTTGTACCGCGTCCTAAGGGTCTACTAGGTTACTTGAGGACTGCCTCCCAGCGTTGTCTGTCGAGGTGGTTTTTCAGTGGGGATTTTCCCCCATTTTAGGGTTGCTGCGATAAAATGCATGACATGTAAGCATTTTATATAAACATCTCAAAAATGTTACATCTCTAAAGAACTTCACTATATCATGTATAGCGACAAATAAAGCAATAACGAGAACCAGAATATATTGAGCGTAATATCCCATAACGAGAATTTATTTGTATCACATATGCTACCCTAAAAGAATTATAAACCGTTTACCGTCTTGTATCTAAACTTTGGTAACAATGCACCAGGTGGTAACCAGAGCCGCGGCTTCAAACGAAGAACCTTTTATAGAGAATAAAGTAATTAGTGTCAGTTGTGGCATACCTTAAAGAATGCACGAGGTATGCTTGAACAATCCCCCAGCACTCATCCACTTAATGTCACAACTATGTTCCGTTTGGCATACTTTGAACTATGTTAGAACATCTTTAAACATAGTTCTATGGGGCCGAAATTTTGTGACGCAGGGATTTTCCCTTGTCCTGGTATGAGCTGATCGTCTACTCTTGTTTCAGTTCGCACATGCGAAATGGTTTTCCACAGAACTTGACATTCCCAACCTATTGCAAATGTATCAGAAAATCGGGGATTTGGGGGATTCCAAACTTGTAAGTTTACAGTTCCATGCGGTGTATGTTTTCGTTCTTCACCGTATGGATCAGACTGGGTGGATCGGAGGGGCGAGGAGCAGGAGATTGGGGGGGGGAGTGTCAAGAATGAAAGTGTTGGTTCATTGATGTGGGTTGAGGTACATATAACAAACCCTAACATCTGTAGCCCCTAAGACAAACCTCACTACAGGCTACAACTTTGACACAAACCCATAGCCTAAGTGAGGGGTGTCAAGCAAAACCAAAAGTGTACGGTCACAAGATCAGTCGCAAAGAAACAAAGCTCAGGGTGGATCACAACGTCACCACACACTCTGAGCACAAGCAACAGGGGCCACAAGCCCAGTTCGAGAGTTCACAAGTGTGTATAGCAAGAGTACAAGCAAAGCAAACAATACACTCAAGCCTATACACGACTAGGCCTAACAAAGCCTAACTGCACACAACACCTCTGGTGGTCATAAGGCGGAAGCGCCTTGGTGAAGATGTCTGCAATGTTGGCCTCAGACTCCACAATCTCGAAGCGAGCCTGTCCACGTCTCTGCAACTCTCGCAGAAGAAAGTACCTGACGTTAATGTGCCTCACTCTGCTCTCCAGTCGCGGCTCTCGACAAAGGAGAATCAACGCCTTGTTGTCAGTGACCAAGGTCGGTGCAGAGCTCGGCCGCTCACCAAGGGCGGCGAGCAAGAAGGTCAACCAACGCAGCTCCTGTGCCACTATGGCACCAGCGTAGATCTCAGCCTCAGCTATAGAGGTCGAGACCGAAGAGGTGTCAGAATGTTATTATCTAGCCTCTAGTGGGGTGCTCTATAGCGAGTACAACCCTGTTAGGGTTTGCTATATGTATCCCAACTGTTGCTAGTGAAACCCCTCCTTTGTTCATTTCTCTCTTGCCTAGCTAGCTAAACCCTAGCTATGGCTCCTCATTGTGCTTACTATTGTAACATGGTTTCAGAGCATTTACGCTCCTGGCCTGTGGGCCCACCTAACTGCTTCCGCTGCTACTCTGTGTGTTGCTCGCCCCATGGCGTGCGAAGGATTTTTCTTCCCGCGCGCGGACCGTACAGGCTGCGCCAGGCCCGCGCGCGGCTCGGACCGCCTACGCGCGGTTTGTCTGGCTGTGCCAGGCCCGTGGGCGGCCCGTTCCTCTCTGCCCCTGAGCTGCCCGCTGCCCCCCGTACTTCTGACGCCGCCCCACCCCTGCTGCTGCCCGTTCTCTTGAATTAGGGTTTGGGGGTGGGGGGTATGGGGGTGCAGTTTCTGTGCGCCGTTCCACTACTCCTCCTCCTCCTCCGTCTCCCGCTGCTGCAGCTGCCGCTCAGGGGGGTGGGTGTGTGGGAGCCGAAGGAGTGGTGTTAGGGGGGTGTCCTGGGAGTGGAGCTAAGGGTGCAGCAGGGGGTGTCTGATAGGGGCGTGGGGCAGCTGGGGGAGGTTGAGTGGAGGCAACCGTTGTGTCGTCAGTAGCGCCAGTAGTCCGGAGGCTACAATCTCCGGTAGTCGCCAGTCGCCTGTGGGTCAGTTGCTCCAGTCAGGAGGCTACAATCTCCGCGGAGCCAGTTACTCCTGTAGTCCGGGCCCTTGCTTCGGTAGCCACTGAGCCAGCAGCTCCTGTGTGTCTGCAACTTCAGCAGTCGCCTCCCATCTTCTCGCCCCCACAGTCTCTCCTCCTCCTCACTTGCCCTCTGTGATAGCCTCTAGCTTTGCTTGCAATTGTGAACCTGCTCTATGACTGCGTGCTGTGCTGATTACACCCCACTTTGGCTATGGGGGTGTGTCAGAATGTTATTATCTAGCCTGTAGTGGGGTGCTCTATAGCGAGTACAACCCTGTTAGGGTTTGCTATATGTATCCCAACTGCTGCTAGTGAAACCCCTCCTTTGTTCATTTCTCTCTTGCCTAGCTAGCTAAACCCTAGCTATGGCTCCTCACTGTGCTTACTATTGTAACAAGAGGAGCGCATGGACCGCCACGAAACAGCTCTAGAAACCAAGCTGAAACAGTACCGCTGAGTAGATCTATGAGTCTCAGCGTCGTCAGCGCAAGAAGAGTCACAGTGACCAGTAAGTACGACAGGCTGCTGCCCTCCAAGAACTAGCCCCACGCCTGATGTCGTCGCTAGGTACTTCGCCACCCTCACAGCTGCCGTCCAGTGAACAGGACGATGTCTCCCTGGCGCAACAAAGCGAGCAAGAATGCTGAGAGGGAAGGCGAGGTCCGGGCGAGTGCAAGTCATCAGGTACATGAGGCAGCCCACCAGCTCTGCATAGGGACCACTAGACTCAAACGGCTCGTCAGGAAAGGGTCCAGTAAGTCTGTGGTCAACAGCAAGAGGTGTGCGCTGTACTATGGAGTGCTAAAGCTCGAACCGCTGAAGGACCTGCTGCAGCATGTGTGACTGTGAGAGTGTAATGGTTCGAGCAGCTCTGTCCCTGGTGATCTGCAAGCCAAGGTAGTGGCGCAGCTCACCAAGGTCAGTGCACGTGTGTCTCTTCTGCAATCCGGACTTCACGTCTGTGAAGGCAACCCTGTCAGCAGTGGCGAAAACCAGGTCGTCGACGTAGACCAGAACAGCGACGGGTCGGCAGAAGACGGCTGGAACCCAAGGTCAGAGAGGGTAGAACGAAGAGTGTCGTGCCACTCACGAGGAGCCTGACGAAGACCGTAGATAGGTCGCCTCAGCCTCCACTGGGTACCAGGAGCGAAAGTGACAGTGAAGGCAGAGGGACGACGCAGCCAGACCTCGTGTAAGCTACCCTGAAGGAAAGCCGTGGAGAAGTCGAGAGAGTGTAACTCGTAGTCTCTCTTTGCTGCTACGTGCAGTAATACCCGAAGAGTGGTCATCTTCGGGGTAGGCGCGAAGGTCTGAAAGAAGCCAACTCCCTCGCGCTGACTGAAACCTATAGCCACGTAGCGCGCCTTGAAGACCGGAGGAGATTCTGGTGGCCGCTTCACCCTGTAGATCCACATGCCATCGACTATGTTCGCCCCGGGGGGGGGGGGAACCTCGTCGACGTAGGTGCCTGTGGATCTGTAGGAGGCCATCTCTGCGTCCATGGCAGCTCTCCACTGAGAGGCCCCAAGGCCCTGACACTGCCTCAGCGTAAGTGCGAGGAGTCGGTATGTCAAGGGCGTCGGGGTCTCCCTCAGGGGCGAGCAGCATGGCACAGAGATGTGGGGAAGCGGCTGCCAGGAACTCTAGCTCAAACTGCCTGTCCTCTAGGGCGTCACAGCCAAGGGCAGACTCACCCCCGACGGCCAGAGGAATGGTAGGAGGAGCAGCCACAAGACCGGTGGCGTAGTCAAGGCGGCGAGTGGAGGCAAACTCAGTGACTGCGGTAGTAAGGGCGGAGACAGAGGAGACAGAGGCACGAGGGTTGGTAACAAAAGAGGCGAGAACAGGACGGTACGTGCAGTAGTAGTCAGTGACAGGAGTAGAGAGAGAAGCAGTGAAAGCCGACTCAGGAGGAGACGGAAGGAGAGACGGAGACGAACGAGGTAGACTAGAACGAAAGAGGGCAGTACGAAGGTTAGTAACGAGAACAGGAGACGAGGGACGAGCACGAGGGGAGCGACGAGAGGCCCAAGTCTGAGGAAGAGGGGACAACAGAGGCTGCGAACGAGGGAAAACAGCCAGGGAGGGGT